CCAACAGTGGGCGGTCCCCGCCACTGCTGTGGTGCCCCCGCAAGTCGTGGGAGCCACCAGTCGTTCATGGCTCCTAGTAGGATAGCTTGCTAAATGGTACTGAATGAAAAAAAAAAAAAATCAGCCTTGGTGTCACCCAGTACCTGGAAGTTGCAGTTAAATCCCAGAGGGGCTTGTTGTTTCATGTGAAATGCTGAATTAACAATGGTCATGTTCTAGCCAAGGGACATGAAACTTAGTAGGTCCTTAGACTGCTGGCTTGCCATCTATCTCCTCACTACCTCTTTGTTCTTTGCGCTCTTTGTTCACGCAAGACAAAAAGTACAGTGAAAGGCTAAATAGTTAGAGAACCCAAAGAGACAGTCTTTCAGACTCTAGTACAAGAAGCTGAAAAGAAATAAGGTGCCAATGCATGTCAAAGGAAACACGTTTTAAACACCATAATCCTGGCGACTGCATGGCAGTCACGTACATCTGCTCATTTAGTACTGCTAACTCCAAGAACATTCCAAAGTCCCGTCTTCTGCTTCTTGGCCTATATCCAATAAGGAGGACTTGAGCACCAGAGGCAGAACTTGGGTGTTTCAGTTACACCTTGAGTTCAAAAACCCCCACCCAGCTGCTGCCAAACACAACAAGGTGGTTTCCCATTTGACTTGAATGTTCTCTGGATACCCACAGTTCTGCTTCTGCCCATGTTCAAAACTGCTGAAAAATAAGCAGTCGGGTCCATCACCTGCCAGGCCTGATCAGGATGCACAAACTATATGTCCTTGTGTTCAAGTCCACCCGGGCTCCCAATTTAGGCATACTCTGGGAAAGCTACTCAAACAATACTTACCCCGCAGCCTGCATACATATTGTACATTTTCCGGGCACTGGGTAAAATGCACACAACAGAAACCCAGGATTCTCCTCTCAGTCCAGTACCCAGTGCGAGTAGGAGGGGTAGAGAATGCCTGAGGAGTGGGACAGCCCCTTGAGAACTGCAAGGTGGATTTGAATCACTTTGGGCTCAAAAGAGAATATAATCCAGGTCTCCTACTTCCTAGGTGAAAGCCCTAAACACTGAGCTAACACCTGGAAGTAGAAACCTTCTATCTCTGTACTGAGTCCTTTGAAAATAGGCACTTTCCCTCAAAGGATTTGGGTGGTAAAGGACAAGTGGGCAGAGGTTACTCTGAGGATCTGTTTCTGCTTGCCACTTTGTACATCTCAGGTAGGGAAGTCATCAGATTCTAGTCAGCTCCTTTTTCTACTGCAGTAGCAGTCTGACATGAAACATTTGTGCTACACACACAGTGGTGAAGAATTTTAAATATCACGCTGCTGGGCTTTTCATGGAAGTTACCTATTATTACTATTAATAAAGACTTTCATTTCAGGCCACATCTGCTCTAACAGCATCCAATAAAATGAATCCCTTATCTTCTAATTAAAACAGCTGTGAAAAGTCACTTCCACACAAGTTATTCCCAGGAAGAACTTGTGACAGATCTGCAAGCACAACTCTCAACTTCCAGGTCACATCAGCCAAGAATATTCTATACTACACAATTAAAGCAGTTGGCTACACTGCAGAATGGCAAGTTCCTCAAGGGTGCATAACCTCCTGTCATTCCCAGCTGGCTCCTTTGAGCAAAAAGCTAATCACAACAAAAGCACCTCTTCCAAACCATGTGCTTACTTCAATGAATGCTACTTTCAGAAACAGAGAGGTACTGCCTCTGAACACACCTGAAACACCAGGAGACAAGAAGCTTTTTCAGATTACATTATTAGTGGAAGTCAGTTTACTTGCTGCCTTCCCCTCCAGTCAATGATCTTGTCACATCCCACACCTCCTCCTTAACCAGTTCTACACACTTTGTGCACTCACAGCAAGGCCTCATAGAAGAGATATTTCAGATCACACAACCCCCCACTGAAAACACTGAGATTATACACTGATGGAGAAAAGGGCACTGGTGCAGAACAAAAGGAGTAACCACTGCTGAGGTATGGTAGTCCTGTGCCTCCTGGTCTGCTATTGGCAATGTTATCTTCTCTTCAGAAAATGGTCCAATCACCTTTCAAATCCCAACTTCTCTCCATGTTCTTGTAGCCACCTACCTTGTAGAAGTCTACACATTCTTGGCATGTACTACTGTACCTCTAAGGAAAAGGTTTCCCCAGGTAAGGCAGCAAATGCATTGGAGTTACTTTCAAAAGTATTTAATAGGTCTTAAGGCTCTGCTCCGTGTCCAGAATATCAATAATTTCCACATCCTCTGTTCAGTTGAAAACCATACCCCATGACCAATGAAGAACGTATTTCTCAGGTTTAACATCACTTACTCAGCTAACACTATTTCAGACTTTACTCTTTCTATAGAGAAAAAACAAAACAAAATAGCATTAGAAGGATGCCAATCAACGTACTGCAGTCTTACTCCGCTTGAAGCTGGCAAGGAAGCAGTCAGATGACTCAGTTACTCAAGTGTCATTTTCCAGTTTCTGTGTCATCTCTCAGCAAGACTAAGATTATGTGGGCCTGTTTATTAGTTTTTGCCAACACTCTGCTGCCACCTGCTGGATAAAAGTTATCCACCAAATTACTTTTCATTAATGGACAACACAGAAGTCAATAATCAACTGATCTGCACTGTCTTTAAAACACAATGCTCTGGGTTCCCAGATTTCTTTGCTTTATAGCTGTTTCCCTAC